AGCCGGTGAGCTGGACGGTGCGGGAGCCGCCAATCAGGTCGGAGCGGGAGTCGGCGAGCTGGTCGTCTCCGGAGTCGGCGAGCTGCGCGTGAACTCGGCGAGGCCCATGCGATTGCAGATGGGCCTGCACGCCTGTCGGGCCAGACCCAATGTATGCCCTCACATACCCCGGTGACTCATCACCAGGGGCGGAAATTCGTGCAGTTCTTCGGTGCGGCGATACACGTGCAGCCCTAAGCACTGGTCACTGCGGGAGTCCGTGAGCTGGCAGGTGCGAGAGTCGGTAAGCTGGTCGGCCTTTTCGGCGCGGGAGTCGGGGAGCTGGACGGGCTGGGAAACTGGTGGCAGGTCGGCGCTGGAGTCGGCGAGCTGGTTTGTTCGGGAGTCGGTGAGCTGGTCGGTGCGAGAGCCGCCAAGCTGGTCGACACGGGGGTCCGCGACCTTGTCGGACCGAGGGTCGGCGAGCCACTTGGCACGGGGGTCGGCGAACTGATCGGCTCGGGAGTCGGCGTGCTGGTCGGCGTGGGAGTCGGCAAAATGGGCGGTGCAGGAATCGGTGAGCGAGTAGGTGCGGGAGTCGGCGAGCTAGTCGGCGCGGGAGTCGGTGAGCCGGTCGGTGCGGGAGCCGCCAATCTGGTCGGTGCGAGAATCGGCGAGCTGGTCGGCTCCGGAGTCGGCGAGCTGCGCATGAACTCGGCGAGGCCCATGCGATAGCAGATTGGCCTGCACGCCTGACGGGCCGTGGTCGTGGGCGCGGTCGTGGGCGTGGTCGCGGGGGCGGGGGGCGGGGGCGGTGGGCGGTCGTGGGCGTGGGCGTGGGTCGTAGTCGCGGTGGCTGGGGTCGCGAAGGTCGTGGTGGTCGCGGTGGTAGTCGTGCTGGTCGCGCTGGTAGTTGTGGGTGTTGAGCTGCCTTGCTGCTTGGCTGCGTACGCCGCGCTAAGCAGCATCTCCGCGCTGCCGAAAGCCAGGCAGCGCTGGATGTTCCTCCAGGTGCAGGAGATCAGGCCCGACCACTCGGTCTCTGGCAGGTCCCGGCCGGAGGAGCGGACGAAGGCGACCAGCTCGTCCGCTGGCCGGCCTCCAGTCGCCAGGACAGCCGGGATGAGCTCCCCGCCAGAGGGGGGGTAGCGCGCCCGCTTTCTGTCGACCGCCTGGCCTGAGCAGCCGCGACCCCGTCCGTGCGAGCCCTGGCCTGCCTGCGAGCGTCGTTGTCGCTGTGCTCGCGGGTGACAGACCAGTCCACGTAGACGAGGGCGTTGGTGACGGGGTCGTGCGTGGCCACGTCGAGGGTGGCCTCCTCCCACGCGCCAATGTCGGGGTGCTGGCGGTCCCAAGCAGGGAAGATTTCCGGGCGGTTGTCGTAGGACTTGACGGTGAGCGCGTGCGGGGGGGGAATTCAAAGGGGCGGGTCTTCCCATGAGAAGGCTTAGAAGCCCCCCGGCCTTCTGAAAAGTTCCATAACCCTTCCCCGATGACGCTGAAAACTTCTGAGAAGGCCGGGCGCTTCTGAGAAACCCCGCCGCCTTCTGAGAAGGCCTTCTCCTTCTCACTTCCCCCCTTCGCTCGGCGCCGAGTTTCGAGTTCGGGCGTTTTCGCTGTTTCCTGGCGGCCTTCCACCCTTGGGATGTGTTCAAGCGGCTGCGCCTCGCCGACAGCTTTCCGGGGGTGCCTGGATCGTCCCGAACGGCCACTGCAGAGCCGATATATAACTCAAAAGCCGAATTCGGCGGCGCGCCCCGGGGGGAAGTGAGAGAGGAGGATGCCTTCTCGGAAGGCGGAGGGGCTTCTCAAAGCCCTTCGGCCTTCTGAGAATGCTTCTGTGTCTTCGGGAAGGTTTTGACAACTTCTCAAAAGGGCCAGGACTTCCGAGCCTTCTGAGACGACCCACTGCTGTTCACTTCCCCTGGGCGCGCCAAAGACTGATATCAGTCACCGAACTTCGCGCATCGCGCCCTACGATGCGCGACGCGCGTTTGCCTTCGCGACTTCCTCGGGGTCCCAAAACCGTGTGACGACGGACCGCGTGGTGACCTCGGGATCTCCAGCGACCTCACCGCGCAGTCCGTCACCGCACGGCTCCGGGACCCAGGAGGCCCCAGTCGCCCGAGACGCCGCCGGAGAACGACCCGAGTCCCAAAACCGCCCCGCGACCCCCGGTCCCCGATGACTCACCACGCGGTTTATGATGTTCCAATCTACTTTAGCCTTGTGATCACCAGAATAGATTTTGAGCACCAAGAAATTATGTCTGGGATGTGGCCCTGAAGTACGATGGGTGCGACCTAACACGCGGTGTGGCCACACAGTTGCAGGGGCCCCCGGGGCCGGGACCTCGCGCCGCCCCTCCGGGAAGAGCAGCTTCTCTCGACAGCGCTGCGGCGCGCGGGGTGCGGTGACCTGCGCAGGTGCCCCTGCGGGCGAACTGGCCTGCGGCCTCTGTGCGGCAGGGCGCTCCGCACCTAGCTTCGCGAGCTGGGCCTCGCCGCCTCCCCGCCGAAGTTTCTCGGGGAGGGGTGGCGAGGCGAGGCGGCACCCTCCAAGGGCGCCCCGCCCTGGGAAGCTCCCATGCTCGCAGGCCGGCCCGTGGACATGCGCGGCGGCGACGGGGCGCAGAGAGTTGGGAGCAGGCAGTGAAGCGCGCGCGCGTCTACGCCCGGCCGAGCACAGCACACACAAACACACACACACGCCTGCTGTTGGACACACACACACAGTTTTGTGGCGTCGCAGTTCCGCGCTCGGCGACGGGGCGTAGAAAGTCGGGTACAAGCAATGAAGCCCTGCAGAGCTCTCAGAGACCGCGTCGGGTCTCGCAGCAAGCAACAACCATAACCATCTGGGCATGGATGCCGGACACCCGCACACACGTACAGTCGGGGCCCTGAAGAAGGAACCCTTTTCGTTGGGGAGGGGCTCCGTGTTCCTTTCGTGTTTCACAGCTTGCCTCAGGGTTTCCTCATGTCTTCGGTCGGAAATTGAAGTCTAACCTATGGAAAAAAAGGGGCCTCGTTCCTGATTTAGGCTTCCTTAGGTCAGCGCCGCGACTGTAGGCGGAGGAGGAGGAGGAGGAGGAGGAGGAGGAGGAGGAGGGGGAGGGAGGAGTCGGAGGAGGAGTCGGAGGAGGGAGGACGGAGGACGGAGGACGGAGAACGGAGGACGGAGGAGGAGGAGGAGGAGGAGGAGGAGGAGGAGGAGGGTGCCGCCCGTGAGCGCTGAGGTTTGCTCAGGAGCGGCCGACGGGCCACCGTTCGCGGGGCGAGGCCCCCGCCGAGGCGACGCAGCAACACCGAAGGGGAACTGGGACACACACAAATACATACACACAAATCAAAAGGTCCCCCATATTTTCCAATATTTTCGGGGTTTTTATCCCCCCCCCCACTCCCCATATTTTCCAATATTTTCTGGGTTTTTGTCCCCCCCCCCGACTCCCCATATTTTCCCCTATTTTTTCTGGGGAATCGACGATGAATGGTGTCTGTGTGTCTTCCCCTCCTGGAACACCACCCACGCGCGAGACTCCCGCCGTTGGTCACGCCGTTGGGCTTACTCTTCGGAAGAGGACAAGTTATCCATACTGGCACCCTCGCTTCATTTTCCCCTTGTCGAGCATCCTGGGCGGTCCTAGTCGCCACCTCTGGATTCGCCTCGACATCCTGGCCAACACGTGCCGCAGGAGAGGTTCGGGTGGTAGCGGTATCAGGTATCGGCAGCTGTTGGATTCCCCAACTCTAGTCCTTAACCTCCTCTCCCCCAGGAGAGCCCAAAATCGAATCGACAAGTCGGATCGGAAGTCGGCATGAATCGGATCGACGGAAATCGGCAGCCGAGTCGGGAAGAATCGGGTCGGCAGACATCCACAGGCGTGTCGGCCTCCATTGAGAAAGCGGATCCCAAACCGGAATCCGAAGTCGAATCGAATCGGATCTGAAATCCATCGAAATCGAATCAAATCGAAGCGGAGGATTCGACATGAGCCCTGCCCCCCTCAGCTTTCCCTTCGCCGGGCGTCTCCAAGGGCGCGCTTGTGCCAGAACCTCGAGGCGGATCCGGCCGTGGCGACGAGAACGCCCCCGGAGGTCCAAGAAGGGCACCAGAATCCACAAACTCTAGCCTCCCCTTCATTGCGCTCGGGGGCGGCCAAGAGGGGGGCGTCCAAGAGGGGGGGGCGCAAATCATGGCCGGCGGCATGTGCGCGGCCCAGGGGGGGTGCAGGGACATATTGAAATAAGAAGAGGCGCCATGAGATCTGGGGAGATATCATGCCCCCCGCCATTATATCCACCCTCCCCTAATCATCACCCCCCTATTGGACGCCCACGATACACCTTCGCCTCCAGCCGGGGCCGGTTGGGGGGTGGGGGTAAGGTTAGGCTGGGCGTCTCCCCCTACAGGCGGATTTTGGGCGACAGAAAACAAAAAAACACCCAACAAGTGGTCCAACATGCTCAACAATAATCAAAAAATCGTCCCAAAATTATGTTCTTACTATGTTTGAACATTCCTCCTGCAGGGGGACAGGCCCGACATACAGTGCGGGCGCGGCCGCAAGAAACCCTCGCAAGAAACCCAACCCTGAAAATCCGCGCGCGAGGTGCACCTGAGGGGAAACCCAAAGCACCCTGAACGCAGCAGCTTCTTCAACGGCTGCGGAAAGCCACCGCGCAGCGCGCGGAGCGAAGAAACCCAGGGTACCCTGACGAAAAGCAAGGGCCCCCACTGTAAGGGTAGGGTACGCATGTGGCCCCCTAATCCGCCTCCAGCCCGGGCCGGACCCTGGGCGGGAGGCCAGGTTCGGAGGCTGGCTTGACTCGAGGCGGCGGCGGCGGCGGCTCTCTGCTCTCTGGGCTGCTTCCCTTCCCGCTCCCTGCTGCCCCCGCTGCGCCTCCCGCGTCCTGCCTCCCTCCTGTCCCTCCTGCCCTCTCTGTCGCTCTGCCTCTCGCTCCCCGCCGGCCCCCTCCCCCGCGCGCGAAGCACCTCGGGATGCCCTGCACTTTCTTCGCCGGCCCACGGCGGGCGCGCTCGGTCTGGGCGCCGCGGCTGCCGGTGAAGCGGGTGGCTCCGCTGGCGCCGAGTCCCTGCCGCAGTGCTGCGGCCGGGGCGTGCGCCGAAGAGGACGATCAGGACGAGGAGGCGGAGGAGGAGGAGGAGGAGGAGGAGGAAGGAGGAGGAAGGAGGAAGGGGAGGAAGGAGGAAGGAGGAGGAGGAAGGAGGGAGGAGGGAGGAGGAGGAGGAGGAGGAGGAGGAGAGGAGGAGGAGGAGGAGGAGGAGGAGAGGAGGAGAAGAGGAGAGGGGGAGCCATAATTCACGATGGAGGAGGAGGAGGAGGAGGAGGAGGAGGAGAGGAGGAGGAGGGAGGAGGAGGAGGAGGAGGAGGAGGAGGAGGAGGAGGAGGAGGAGGAGGAGGAGGAGGAGGAGGAGTGCTCGTGATTCCATGAGGTCTGTCTATACCCAGTTGAGGGCTGCGCTATCCCTAGCGGTAGAGGACGCGGAGGCCGAAGCTCGGTGTTGAAGGGGGTGGCGATGATGGCCCGACGAAACGGCGTTGGCATCTCACCACCTAAAATCGTCGTTGACGGATGACTTGGCGCATCTCCAAATAGATTTCCCGTGGCCAGCAATAAGAAACAATCGCACGGTGGATTCGGTATTGATGGCACCAGAACAGCCCATATGCAAAGTAAGAGAGTGCACGCCGGCTGTGCAGCAATCGAAGCTGGCCGAGGCTGTTGTCGCCCTCGAGGAAGTCCGTTTTCACCACGAAGGGGGTCGGATGGCCAAGCTGTGCAGGGGCAAGGGTGATTCGCGCGATCTCGACTGTATGTTTGGCCTGACGATTGTGGACCACCACACAATACCATATAATCCATCTCTTTGCTGAAAGATTACCTTGGGGATGCGTACCTTGCCTTCGCGCCCCCGAGCTAGCCCGGAGCGGTGGCAAAGGAAGGCACATATTTGGCGCGTCACTTCACGTTGACGGCCTCGGCCTATGCTGAAGTTCTTGGGAAATGTTTGTTGGTGCTTCTCTTGATGGGGACATTTGGGGAATGCTTGACGGGGACATTCGGGAAATGCATTTGGGATAATCCCAGGATTATCCCATGATGCCCCTGGCAATCACAGCGCCCAGATCGAGCACCTGATTGAGAAGCACGGGCAAGCCTGTCAGCAAACAAGGATGCCAGAGAAACTAGCTCGCCGTGCTGTTGCGCTCCACACGAAATCTAGGTTACAGTCTCACGGGGCCAACGGCTTTGCCTACACAACAACTGGCTAGCGCCAGGGGTGGAAATTGGACGAGTTAGCACTCAACTGTTGCTATGCTCTCGCACCCAATCAGCTTGTACAGGCATTGCGCGATGCTGGCATCACCACCAGGGTGAGTGGATGCTCCAACCCAGTGTGGGAGACTACTGCAATTGCAAGAGCGGGTGATGAAGGGAACGAGGGGGAGGACGAGGAGATGTTTGATGTTGCCATTGTTGATGATCTCGGCATTCTGCTCTTTGCTTTTTCGTTTCGTGTCCTTGTGCCTGCTGCCAATGTCATGTTGCGTACAGCGTACATATCATGGGCGTGGAAACTCATATTGGCAGTGACGTCGAAGCGAAAGGCGGCAACCTCGCTTGCGCTGAAAAACGCAACAAGACAGCCGTGGGTGCATTTGTGCCGATATGTTGGCGCATTTCCGGGTGGAGGAAAAAATACATGACTGTGAAACGTTCACTCCGTGAGAGTCTAGCCGTCTCCCGATGTTCTTCAATGCGCATCTGCGGTGCCACAGCGTGTGCGAGCTGAGGGTCAGGAACACAGTCTACATGCGCGCTCACAGGCGACTACTCGAGACGGTTCAGTTCGATGGCAGCGAAGAGGTCTGACCTTCAAGCGCGCAATCAGCTCGGCATGCCTTCGATGGATTGCGAGCTGATGAAGCGTCGGCTCAACTACCTGGGCAAACTTGGGAGGTCGTCGTGGGATGCTTTGGGAGCCGTGTTGTCGCTCCGAGACTAGGCCGGCCGGCCGCTGCTCCCTCCCTCCCTCCCTCCCTCCCTCCTCCTCCTCCTCATCCTCCTCCTCCTCCTCCTCCTCCTCCTACTCCTACTCCTCCTCATCGTCCCTCCCTCCCTCCCTCCCTCCCCTGGGCGCAGCAGGCCGCGAAGGACTTGAAGGTTTTTTGTCCGAAACGGTTGGCCGCACCAGGGAGGCGTTGCCTCCCACCGGCCACGAGGCGTGCCTACTAGGCCTGTTTTCCACCACCACCACCACAAGTTGGAGGGGGAGGGGATCCTCCTCCTCCTCCTCCTCCTCCTCCTCCTCCTCCTCTTCCTCCTCCTCCTCAGCCTCCACCTCCTTCCCCCCTCCAACTTATGATGGTGGTGGTGGTGGAGAACAGGCCCATCAGTGCCAGGTGTCCCTGCGTGACCACGCCGAGGAATGCGGCACAACTGTCTCGCGGCCTGCCTTCGCAGACTCAGTCTGCTACAGTCACCATGCTGGCCAACTCGCACAGCCGCCGATGCCTCGTTGTTGTGCCCGCGCTGCTGTGACAAAAGCTTTTGTGGCCAGGCAGGTTGTACTATCGCATGTGTTCGTGTCAAGCACGGCGTAAAACATTTCATGCGCGCGGCTGCTGGCCACGATTGCATATTTCAGCGTGCCACGCAATTTTCTCGACAAGGCGCCGGCTGCTCGCGCACCTGAACCGGCAACCTAGCCAGTGCGGGGTATGGGTGCTAACACAAGTATGTACCACCGCACGTGGAAAACGCTGCTGTACTGGATGAACTCGACGCGCTGGCGCGCCACTCAGCGCTCAAAACTGGTCAAAACACCCCAAGAGCAAGGGGGCTGCTGTCAAGGCTAACTGGAGGCGCGGTGGCCGCGTGCTCCCGTAATTTGGGAGCCAGGGCAGCCAGGAGCTGGTTGCAACTGCTCTTTGCTTCCATCCTTGAGCGATGCACTGGGCACAGCGCGGGCAGAAAGAAAAAACATGGATCAGAGAGGGGAGGAGGGAAAGAATGAGGAAGAGGACGGGGAGGGAGGCGGAGGAGGAGCAGGAGGAGCAGGAGGAGAAGGAGGAGGAGAACGAGGAGGAGGAGGAGGAGGAGGAGGAAGGAGGAGACGAATAAGGAAGAGGAAGAGAAATGACCGACGGAGTTACCGACTGACACCACGTGCCTATCCTCAGAAACCAAGTCTACCATCATAATGCCAACAGAGCAGGCTCCTATAGCAGAGCGCGAAGTCGCAGGCTGACCCTGGGGGCATGTGTACTTTCCTTTGGCGATCCGATGCAGATTCTGGGGACCAATTCTTCCTTCTGACAGGGCGCGCTCGCGGATCTGGTGCCTCCAATCTGCAGTGGCCGTGAGACCGCACGTGGGGCAAAAACGAAGGGAGTGAAGGCCCCGGGCGCACATTTGATGACTGGGGTGAACCTGCCGGGGCCCGTTCCGAACCTCGGCCCCCAAATTTCGAATCGTGGCCCCAGCCATCGTGAGAACTGAAAGCACATTGCGACTGCACAGCGCAGGTTCGATCACATGCCGCATCGAGGGAAGTCGACGTGACAGTCTCGAGACATCTGGCTTTCGGTGCATTCCCACCTGCCGCAACCAAGGACGAACCGATGGGAGGCGGAGGCGAGGGCCCGATTTCGCCTCGAGTCAGAGCCTCGAAAAAACGCCCTGCCACTCTCCTTCCCGCCTGTCCACCTCAAGAGTGTCCAAAAATGCGCACCTAGCTCTGATGCGGGCGAACCAGGCCAACGGCACCAACTTCATCTGAAAAAAAAACCTCCCCCCCGACCCGTCGCCAACTCCCATCCCCTGTCGGCCGACTCGCTGGCGAACACGTCGGCGGCCGCATTGCCTTGGGCACGAAGCGCCCGATGACCAAAGGTGATCCGCTCAGCGACCTCGTCCAGGCGGGAGCGGGCCCATCCGACCGTGACCTCGCCTTGCCGCGCGACGATATCCGCGCAAATTCGCTTCCAGAGAGCAGCATTTTCAACGTGCCCCTGGGGCCCTCCCTGCAGACCCAGCCGCGACCCCAAGCGTGGATCATGGGGAGGTGGTCCGTGATAAAGTCTGTCTGCGTTCGACGAGCGGCAACGAGACGCCTCAGAGGGCGTCCAAACTGACGGGCCCTGAGCGGGGCCCGTGAGGGCGATACGGCACCGCGCCTCCTGCGCCGACTGTCGCTCGCGAAACGGCCACCCGAACCAGCTCCGAAGATGACGGCGGGCTCCCGGGGGCCATGAGAGGCCGCAATCGAGGGGTCTCCGGGCACTGAAAAGCCTTTCTCCCGGACCTCAGCCTCCAAACAGTCAGAGTGAATGGGCCGTCTGGCGGGGGCCCCACGGAGCCAAAAGGCGGGCTCCGAATCGCATGGAGAAAGGGCCCTAAGAATGAGATTCTGCGAACCCTTGTGCTCCTTATGCCCCCGGTTTTCGCACATTCCTACATTCGATGCTTGAGCGCCCCTGGTGTCTGACCACACCTCTTGCGCAACAGGCTGCATGAATGACCTGCTTCGCGCTGTCCGTCCGTCGGCCACCGCCCACGCGTAGAGATGGTAAGGGCCAGTGGCCCATGCCGCAGGGTTCCCATGTCGATCACATCTGCGATGAACACGGGCAACTCCAGAGAAATGTGCACCTTCTGCCAAGTCCTGTGAAATTGTGCCGCTTATCTCCCGAACCGGCGCTGCAAGCCTCTCGCGAACTCGTCCAACAGCTCCGCCCCGTCGGCCCGTTCGAACTGACCCGATCAGAACGTGAGAAAATGCCAAGTATCCGTGCCTGCAGGAGCCGGCCTGGCCAACTGGCCAACCCGTCAGGAGATTCACACGGCCAACCAGCTTGAGCCAGCGCAACCACAAGCGCCTCCAATGAACCGCGCACAATGCTCAATATAACTTTGCCGCTTTGGACCATCGGCTTCGCAACGACTGGCCAAAACAGCCGCGGCACAGGGTAGGGATGCGGCTGAGAAAACTAGATCACTAGCCATTTCCTCACAAGGACTTCGGGGGGGATCAGTGGCAGCGTCTTTATCGGTGGTAGCGGCCAACGTAAGAGTGAGACACATTTGTTTTGACACCCGCCAAAGGCGCGTCCGCTTGTCTCCAGAGTTCGAACAATCTTGCAGGTGGGATGCCCAAGGCCCAGTGGCCATGTGCTGTCTGTGCAGAGGCATCCGTGCTCCAAAGGCTTAATGCTATCTAGTTATATCGAGTGCCCGACTTTCTTATCCTTACGATGCGTGATTGCCTGCTTAGAGCGTTGATGTTGCGTTCCTTCATATTCTTGTTTGTCCGTTTGCGTTCCGCACTCGCGTCCCGTGCTAGGTCAATCGAAGAGCCAGCCCACTGAACTCAAAGGCCAATCAGATGCAATCGGCGGACACCTTTCTTGCCCAACTTCGACAGCGCAGCGATGATCTCTGGCATCCCCGAGGTGTCTAGACGATGTATCTTGAATTGCCCAGCGAAGAGGGGCCCCCGTCTGAATGGTACTCGCGCCCCTCGGCCCTGGCGGATGGCTAATCGACGCACTTGTGCAGCGAAGCCACGGGGGCCTCCTTGTGCAAGCCCTCTGAGATCGGATGCAACAGGAGGGGGACAAACTGCGCGCCTCTCGGTCTTCTGGCAACCACAGGTCTGGCAGCGTGGATGGGGCCGCCCAGCCAGCCCTTCATTGTGAGATTCTTCGAAACAACACACATTAGGATCTCACCACCGCCACCATCATCGGACAATTTCGTTTGTGAGCGAACTGAAGGAACAGCACGAGAACAAATAAAAAACAACACACATATCGTATATATTTTGTTCACATCAAAGAGCAGGCTGGCCGCGTCCCTTGTTTGCCGACGCCATCTCGCCCACCGAAAGTGTGCGCACGTCCGCGCGCAAGGCCGAGGGCCCAGCCAGGGCTGTATCCCAGTGAACTTCAAGACTGTCTGACCACGCACTGGCAGGGGAGGCCCTGGCTCCTAAGCACCAGTATATTGCCCAGGATGGGAAGCGGCCCAAAGATGCGGTCACCACCTTGAGGCTTGGCCGCTAGCGCGCCCACCGTCGCGTGAACCTGCCGCGGCCATGCTCCTATCCTTTGGCGGTCATTGGGCAGAGTGGCACATTGAAGCCGGCCTTGGGAAGGGAACGCGGCCACGTCGTCCACCGTCAAATTGTCAGACCTCGTGGCCCTCCTAGCCGGCATTCGTCCCAGAGCTTTGTCGATGCTCTCGAGCGCGAACGGCGCAACGTCTTGCTCCAAGGGCCTGGCGATGACCAGCGCTGACCGCATCGACAATGTCGTTTGGTTTGTCAACCTTATCCGTCCAAATGCTGCCCCAATCGCTGCGTCGACCCCCCATTGTGACGTGAGTGTTTGATATGGCGGCGGGGTCTGCCTGGGGACCGCTCCCATTGCTCCTCAACCCATTCGCAAACTCTGATTCCGTTCTTGGCCGCCTCCCTGGCTTGAGCCCTCCTGTTGATCTTCTCGGTGACATCGGCGGGCCGCTGCGGCCAAGACACCGGGCCTGTCGTGGCGTCTTCGATCTCCTCCCACCCCGGCCTGTGGGATGCCGAGGCCGAAGCTGGGCGACCCGCGGAGCGGGCCACTGCCCAACCGGCAGAGCCCCATGCAGGCCGACCTCTCGGAACGGGGGGGCCCGGCGTACCCTGAGAGGCTCGCCCCGCCCGCCCGGCAGAGCGGGGCGGGGGCGCGCCCGGCCACAAAGTCGCTGACGACGCGGCGGGCGAGTGCGGCCCTCTCGAACGAGGTAGAGGAGGAGGGAGGCGGAGGCGGAGGCGGAGAAGGAGGAGGAGGAGGAGGAGGAGGCGGAGGCGGAGGCGGAGGAGGAGGGGGAGGAGGAGGGGGAGGAGGAGGAGGAGGAGGAGGAGGAGGAGGGGGGGGGAGGGGGAGGAGGAGGAGGAGGAGGAGGAGGAGGAGGAGGAGGAGGAAGAGGAGGAGGAGGAGGAGGGGGAGGAGGACGAGGAGGAGGAACACCACTGAGGGAGGAGCCCAGCCCAGACATCCGACGCTGTGCTCTGCTCAAGATGCGTGTCTGATGGCCCCGGGGCCCGACAGCGGGGCCCCGCAGGCCGACGTCGAGGCCAAACGCCCGCCGATTGCGACACGGAGTGCCGTCGGAGATCGGCGAATCCTCGGCGGCTTTCGGTCCGCAGTTCGCTCCTGCCTCGGGCGGCCGTTCGGGACGATCCGAGCAGTGTCGACTTTGCGCTGACGCGCTTGCACGGCCGGCCTTGAAACCACATATGTTACATGTTTGTCGGCGGCGCGCACAAAAGGGGCGGGCGGGGAGGGGCGAGGGCTTCTCAGAAGGAGGGTGCTTCTTAGAAGGCGCTGGCCTTGCATCTATAGGTACGGCCCCCGCGTTCTAAGACACAGGGGTGCTTCTAAGAAGCCCTCCCCCCTCCCCCCACCCCCTCTGTGCGTGGCTGAATTGACGCGCTTGCGCGGCCGGCCTTAAAACCACATATGTCTGAGGGAGCGGACCGCGCCGCCAAACTGTCCCGCAGACTGGGTCGTTCGGCCGTTCGCGCCGGGGCACCGAGCTCCGGAAGGTATAAGGCGCCTGCCCCCACAACCGCTGCCCCCAGAACGCGCTCGACGGGGCGCAGCCGCTGACGAGCATCCCGAGGCTGGAGACATCTGGGAACCGACGAAGGTTCCCGAGGACGAGGGCATAGGAACAATACATGGCATGAACATGGACTTCCGAGGTCCGCGCGGATTCCATGGACCAGGGGGCTCTGGCGCCGATCCGAGGGATCCGCGAGGACCTCCGAAAATGGGCGCTTATTGCATCATTTGCTCCCCACCAATCCCCGAGCCTTTCCCAGGCCCAGTTTTTCACCTAGAACAATTGTTTGACGGCTCCGGGGCTCAGCGAGGGCACTCAGAGGCCGAAAACGACGGGAAAACCTCGCGCCGCGGTGTTGCTTCCGACAAAGTGAGCACGTCTGAGGACGACGAGTTGAGCAGGGTCCCACTGTCGCGGCATTCCTGGAGGCCTACCACGACATGTACTTATAACAAAAGAGCGCTCTAAAAGCAAAAGCAATGCTCTCAGAACGTTGAGCCGGCGTACTAGAACCAGACGGTCTCGGCCAGGAAGGTCCTCAGAAGACCTCCTGGAAACCACAAGGGGTCCACAGAACACCCTCTGGTGGGCCCACAGGCAAGCCAGGACGCCTCGGCGCTGCTGGAGTCTGGGGGCGACGCGGGCGACGATGGGCGAGGCGGGGCCGCTCCTTCACCCCGAGCTCTTCGACAGCCACAACGGGGGCCCCTGCGCCCCCACGGGCCGAGCCCGCCCGAGAAAAAAAACAAACGCCGCGGCGCTGCTCCCAACCACGAGGGCGACGACGGCGCCTGGCGACGGCGAGGGCGACGACAGCGAGGCCGGGGCTCTGCTGGTCGGGGCCCATCCAGGCAGGCCCGGGCGGGTCGGGCGCTGCAGGCTCCCGCAGAGGTTCCTGCACCCAGGCCCGGGCAACATGCGACCCTGGCCCTGCAGGGTCCTGCAGGATCCGGCGCGCTTGCTGGCCCCCGTGTGCATGGACCCCCGTGCTCTGATAAGGGGGATCGAAGACTGACATGAAGCAAAAACATAGCAACTCGGAGGTCCGCGCGGATTTCTCGCATCCGCGCTGGACCCCCCGCGGAGCGCGCCAGGGGCGGCGCCGGAGGCGCCCCGCCAGGGGGGGGGCCCAGGCGCGGATCCAAGAAATCCGCGTTGAGCGCCCAAAGTTTGTATTTATGGCGTTTTGTCGCCGGTACCCCGGGACCAGTTTTTCGTCCTGAATCGTTTTTTTTGACGCTCCCGAGGCCCGGCGAGGGCCCCCAGAGGCCGAAGACGGCCAATAACCGCCTGCTGCATTTTTGGGGGAGCGTCGGATCTCAGGGCGCTTGCATGGACCCCCGTCCTCTTGAACCCCCGACGAGGGCGCGCTACGCCACCGCCGGCGGCCGCAGCGCGCGCTGGGCGCTGCTGGCGAGCGCCGCCCGGGCGTGCGCCGCCGCGGCCGTGCGGCACTCCAGGCGGAGGTCGCCGCTCCTCGCGGCGAGGGGCGACGACGGCGCCGACGACGGCGGCGACGGCGACGGTGGCGACGGCGGCGACGGCGGCGCCGACGACGCCGCCGCGGCCGTGCGGCACTCCAGACGGAGGGCGCCGCTCCTGGGAGACTGCGGCGCTCGTGCCTCCCCGAGGGGGGCGGGCTTGCCTCGTCTGGTCTCGAGGAGGGTGTCCTCCCTGCTCGGATGCTCTCTGGGGAACATCCTGGAGGCCTCGCACTGCAACACGAGACCTAATGCACGTCGGATCCGCGCCGGGTTCATGTCGGGTTGCGTTGGGTGTACGTCGGAGCGTCGCCGCGCGAACGTCGCACCATATCTGCGGGGCGGACTGGTGAGATGGGCTAGATATAACAACCATCCCGCGCCACGCGAGACTTTTATGATTTCCTCGTAGACTCGCCAATGATGGGCCGAAGAGGCAAGGATGCCAGGGTAGCCTTGGAAAGCTGATCATCCCTACTATGCGACTTGAGTGTAGTATACAAGGCAAGCCGATCCGTCGCAGGCAGCTCGTGCCAAGATCTTTCTCCGCTGCGCAGGCCTGGGGCGTATCGCTCTAACGCTGCAACGTCGAGCGGGCAAACTCGGGCTGCTGGCGACGAGGATGGCGACGACAGCGACGCCAGCGACGACGACACCTGTGACGACGACGATGATGTCGGCGACGACGGCGATGACGCTGGCGGCAACGACGACGCCAGAGGCGACGAAGCTTCGACGGCGGGGACGACGCCGGCGGCAACGACGACGGCGGCAAACGTTTGACGACAGAGTAGTTTCTACAGGTTCCCCTCCTGTGCCCTCTGCCGCGGCAACCCTCCGACGTTTCCATCAATTTCGGTGCGCCCTGGGCTCTGCTGCGTCCTGCTGTTCGACGCCATGTGTCCAGCACACCAAGACTTCGATTCCCCAAACAATGCTTGCACTTGGGGTTCTCACTTCTCCTCTCAGGAGCTGTGCCTGTCTGTCGGTTTGGCGGCTATGTTGTCGCCGTCGCCGCCTTGTCGCCGCCCGTAACTGGGCCTGTCTGTCGGTTTAGCGGCTATGTTGTCGCTGTCGCAACCCCGTCGCCGCCTCGTCGTGGCCTCGCGTAGGCGCATCACATAGATTGTAGCACATGGGCTGCACGACGCAGACTGCACCATGTTAGCCAGCGTGGACCCCAAACAGTGCGTTTGTAACAAACTACGTTGTACAATAGCTGTAATGCAGTCTAGGTGGTGCTATCTATGCTGTACTACATGTCTCATATATGTGTATACACATATCTATGTATACATATATATATATATATATGCACAACTATAATTATGTGTGTAAATGTATGTATGTCTATATATATATATGTATATACTAGTGTGGACCCGTGGGTTTTAATCCACAGAGTTGAAGGGAAAGAACGTTGGCGGTGCCTTCTGGGGTGTGCGACACACTCAGCGACCACCGTAGATCTCGCGATGATTGTTCCACTGGAGTTCCCCTGCCGCGGGCGGCCCTGTAGGAAACCCTTGTGGAACTCATTGGGGGGCCCCTGGGGCCCTCTGGGGCCTTGTAGGACACTTGTCGGGCCGTCTTGGGGCCGTCTTGGGCCATTTTGGACGCCTCTTGGGCCGTCTTGAGTCCATCTTGGGCCGTATTGGGCCCCTCTGGGGCCCCTCCGAAGGTCCTCTTGGGCCGTCTTGGGAACCTCGTGGACCGTCCCGGGGCCGTCGTTAGCCGTCTGGGGGCCTTTTTGGAAACGTCTTGGGCGGTCGTGGGACGGTGTTGGAAGCCTCCAGGGCTGTCCTGGACGCGGGGATGGCCCCAAAGGCGAGTTTGCTGAAAACGTCAGTTTTTCCAGAGGGAATGCGGCGATTGTTGCTGGGTGGGGCCCTTTCGGGGGTGCCCTGGGGCCCTGGAGGAGGAGGAGGAGGAGGAGGAGGAGGAGGAGGAGGAGGAGGAGGAGGAGGAGGAGGAGGAGGAGGAGGAGGAGGAGGAGGAGGAGGGAGGGCCCCCTCTGGGGCCCCCTGGGGGCCCTCTTGGAGCCGTGGTGGCCGCCCGGGGAGCAGGCCTGGGACGCCCGCGGGAGCTGTCTTGGCTAGTCTGGGGACCCCAATGGGTCGCGTGCTCTCTCCTCCTCCTCCTCCTCCTCCTCCTCTCCTCCTCCTCCTCGTCCTCCTCCTCCTCCTCCTCTCCTCCTCCTCCTCCTCCTCCTCCTCCTCCCTCCTCGTCCTCCTCGTCCTCCTCCTCCTCCTCGTCCTCGTCCTCCTCCTCGTCCTCCTCCTCGTCCTCCTCCTCCTCCTCGTCCTCCTCCTCGTCCTCCTCCTCCTCCTCCTCCTCCTCCTCCTCCTCAGGAATGTTCTGGCGCCGTTGGGGGGCTCTCGGGGGGCCTTCGGATGCCCTTTCGGGGCCCCCGGTGAGCTCGGGGAACCGGGGGTCCACGCAAACCCGCCGAGGTTCCTACGGGTCTATCTGAATGGATCTGGCGCCATGTAGAATGTGCAACACATGCGGTGCAATGTGTGTGGTGCAATCTATGTTGCGCAATTGATTTTAACAAACGGGTTGACACATCCCGCGCTCTTGCAAACATACCACCCACCCATCCGTAACTTGGCTGGCAAAACCCATTAGGTGGCGATTGCGATGCATGCTCGGCGTTGGCTGGTGCGTCTCTGCGGCCGCGCCACGACGCGGACAACGACTACGACGACGCCGACGACGTCTCCAACGACTTCGACGACGACGATGACGACGACGACGACACTGACGACGACGACGACGACGCCGACGCCGACGACGACGACGATGACAACGCCGACGACGACGACGACGACGACGATTACTACGCCGACGCCGACGACGACGACGCCGACGCCGACGCCGACGCCGACGACGACGACGACGACGAAGACGACGACGACGACGACGACGACGACGACGACGGAGGAGGCAGGACGACGACGGCGACAACGACGACAACGACGAGGGAGGAGGGAGGACGGCGCCGACGACGGACGACGACGACGACGACGAGAGAGGAGGAGGAAGGACGACCACGGCGACAACGACGACGGAAACGACCACGACGCCAAAGAGGACGACGACATCGAACACGAGGAAAGACAGAAGTGACGTAGGCGACGACGACGACGCGGGAGCAGGGACGACGGCGACGACGACGACGCAAGAGCGCGCGCACGCTTTTGTAGAAAATCCGTGCTGCGAAACCTCGTGTTTGTGTATGATTTTTGGACACACGATTTTGAAGTCCTTCCGAAACCGATGGGTTTTGAAGGATTTCGGCAGACGCGCGCGACGACGCGCGCGTCTGCACTTCGTCCCGTTTTTTGCAGAGGATTCTCGCGACGGCACACGCGCCAGGGCGTTCGACAGATTTCGACATGCGCGCGCGAAGCCCGTTTGGCAGCATGTTGTGAAAATCTGGAAAAATTTATGGTTTTCTTAAGATTTCGCAAGAGCTCGCGCGTAAGCTTTTTCAGCAAACCAGTGTCGCGAAACCTTGTGTTGTTGTATGTTTTTTTGGAATCTCGATTGCGAAATCCTTGAAAGGAGAATATACGTAGTGCAACCTACGTTGCGAGCTATCAAACAGTACGCCGCAGCCGCAAAACAAAAAACTTGCAATGTAGGCGGGGCAACCTCCGTGGGCAATCTACGTGGGCCAGCCTACGTCGTGCAATCTCCGCGGTGCAAGATTTGCGGTGCAGCCGAAGTTGTATCATATATATATATATGTATATGATTGTATATAGATATGCAAGTGTATATGTATACAAGTGTGTATATGTATATATATATACATGATGTCGCGCACTTCGCGTGGTTGTGCAATATCAAATTCGCTGGCCCAGCGGGCCAGAGGCGTGCTAAGATCTCCAGTAACTGCTCAACAATAATTCTAATTCGCGCGCGCGGGGCGGGCCCTGGGGGTCCCCGGACGAAAGGTACCCCGGCAAGGTCCTGGCAAGGTACCGGCTGACTCCCGGCAGACTCCCGGCAAGGTCCATTTTCGGAGCCCAAGAGGGCTCCAAACGGTCCAAGAGAATCCCCAGAAGCCCTCCAGACGGTCCAAAAGAGCCGGGAGACGCCGAAATATCACTCCCAAGCGCCTGCGATGACCTCAAGACTGCCCAACAGGCCTTCAAGACGCCCCAAGAGGTCCCTAAGCGGCGCCCCAAGAGGGCTCCCATAAGCAAAAATCGTCCCATTCCCTTCGGGAAGCGTGCGTTTTTAACATAGCCGCCTCTTCGTCTTTCACACCTTTCAAGGCGGTCCAAGAGGCCCCCAAGATCACCCCAAGACGGCCCGAGAGACCCTCAAGACCGCTCAAAGACGGTCCAAGAGCGCTCCAAGAAGGCCCAAGAAACCCTTAAGAACTCTTTGTTCGGAGCCCAGGAGGGCTCCAAATCGGTCCAAGAGGTGCCCGAGAAGCCCTCGAGACGGTCCAAGAGAGCCGGGAGACGCCGAAATATGACCCCCAAGCGCCTACGATGGCCTCAAGACGGCCCAACAGGCCTTCAAGACGGCCCTAGAGGCCCCTAAGCGGCGTCCCTCGAGGGCCCCCACTAGCAAAAATCGTCCCATTCCCTTCGGGAAGCGTGCGTTTTTAACATATCCACCTCTTCGTCTTTCACACCTTTCAAGGCGGTCCAAGAGGCCCCTAAGATCACCCCAAGACGGCCCGAGAGACCCTCAAGACCGCTCAAAGACGGCCCAAGAGCGCTCCAAGAAGGCCCAAGAAACCCTCAAGAACTCTTTTTCGGAGCCCAGGAGGGCTCCAAATCGGTCCAAGAGGGGCCCGAGAGGCCCTCCAGACGGTCCAAGAGAGCCGGGAAACGCCGAAATATCACCCCCAAGCGCCTACGACGGCCTCAAGACTGCCCAACAGGCCTTCAAGACGGCCCTAGAGGGCCCTAAGCGGCGTCCCGAGAGGGCTCCCACAAGCAAAAACCGTCCCACTCCCTTCGGGAAGCGTGCGTTTTTAACATAGCCGCCTCTTCGTCTTTCACACCTTTCAAGGCGGTCCAAGAGGCCCCCAAGATCACCCCAAGACGGCCCGAGAGACCCTCAAGACCGCTCAAAGACGGCCCAAAAGCGCTCCATGAGGGTCCAAGAGACCCTCAAGACGGTCCAAGAGGCCCCAAGACGGCCCCATGGTTGACGTCCGCAGGGGCAACCTGAACGGAAATGTTGAGCCTCCCGCCCAAACGCGCCCCCGAAAGGCCCCTACAAGCCCCCAGGTAGCCCCACGAAGCCCCCAAGAGAGCCCCAAGAGGCCCCCAACAGGCCGCAAGGAGCCCCCGAGAGACCCCCAGGAAGCTCCCAGGAGGCCCCCAAGAGGCCAGGCAGACCCCCCCAAAAGACCACCAAGAGGGCCCACCCAGAGCCTTCCACGAGGCCCCCCAAAGTTCCCAATAAGCTCCCACGAAGCTTCCAAGCGCTCCCAAGACCCCACGAGGCCTCCAAGAGCTCCCAAGAAGCTCCCCAAAAGCCTCCAAGGGCTCCCGAGAGGGTCACAAGTACTCCTCCTGAGCAGCTCCTTGATGCTCCCAGAAGAGACTCCCAGAAGCATCCATGAGCTCTCCGAGATGCCCCCTCCCCAGATCCCCAACACTCAGTTTTTCTCGCGTCCCTCACCCTTGGATCCTGCACTGCGTTTTCCTCCAATTTCGATTGGATGAGGATGAGCTCGGGATGGTCCTGGAAATGTGTGGGGGGCTCTGAAGGTCAGCGTGCATTCTGAGAGGTTGTCGGTTGCGTGTCTTCTGTACACACAACCAACAGTATGAATAATGGAAAGACCGCACATACATCACCGATCCCCAAACGGCCCACAAGTGTATGCATTCGGCAACGTGTATGATGTGGGATGTCAAGCACGACTGGCCCCATCCTCCTCGAAGTGGTCGCCCTCGTCATCCTCCGCCTCCACCTCCTTCTATCCGTCCCTCCCTCCCTCATATCCCTGCCCCACCTCCCTCTCCTCCATTTTCTCCTTTTCCCTCCTCAGATTTCCTCCCAAAGTGGGGCGGGGCGGACCCCGGGCGAACCCTCAGGAACCCCGACAACGTACAGGCATCCCTGCAAAGCTCCGAGGAGGAGGAGGAGCATGAGGAGGCGGAGGAGACGGAGGAGGAGGAGGAGGAGGAGCAGCAGCAGCAGCAACAGAGCGGCCCACGAGACGCCCGAACGGCCCAAGAGAGCCCCAAGACAGCCCCAAATGGGCCCAAGAGAGGGAACACGAACCGACAATTCGAGACTTCCGCCCCAAGCAGCCCCCATGAGGCCCTAAGAGGCCTGCAAGAGACCCCAAGAGGCCTAAACAGAAGCCCCAAGAAGCCCCCCGACGGCCCCCAAGAGCCCTCAAAACTGCCTCCAAAGAAACCCTCGAAAGGCCTGCCACGATATCTCAACGAACATCCAAGAGGCCTGTGACCTACAACCTAGGCGCGGTGGCGGGATGGGCCGAAAACCACTAGATAGCCACCTCGTAAGACAGTAGAGGCCGAAGCCCCCACAACAAGCTCCAAACAAACTGTTTCATCCCCATGCGTTCTGCCGCAACGCCTCTGGAAAACAACCACGGCCCACCAGCGCCGCCTGGCTCGCGACCGCGCAAGCAAACGCCCGCGATGGCACAATACGGGCCGGCGGAATGAGCGAAGCGATTCAATGTTCAACCTATGTGGTGCAATGCATGTTGCGCAACCGATGTTGTGCCATATGCTGTCTCCGTCTCCCCATGAAGCCAAGATCAATGCTCGCAGGCTAACGGCACGGGGCTCCCCCGGGAACCACATCGCAGCCTCGGCGATCTTCTGCCATTACTTTGAGCGCCAGGCAAACTCGCAGAGTTCAGATACGTATCTCGAAATTTCAAGAAAAAACAATCAAATATCTGATGCCTGAAAGCACCATTCCGCTGCGGCACAGAAACTTGCCATCCCGAAGAATACTCATATGATTCCAGATGCGCTGCAAGCCTCTGCTCATCGCAAGAACTCAGGCTCTGCTTACACTCCAGATGGAATCCTTCCCCAAATCTGTGGCAACAGCAGCTCGCACCAGCCCATCTAAGGCAACGGGGTGTTTCGCGATCTCCTTCTGGGGCCCCGTCTGGGGATCTGCAGAATCGATCATCCGACTTTTATTGTGCTGACCGTTAGTCGTGTTCATCCTTATCATTCCTGCAGGTACGCTCTGAACGACGAGGCCCCCACCATGTCCTTCCGCATCCCCATGAGTTTGGGGCGCATGAGTCTCAGCTAGCCGTGGCTGCCACGCGGGCCCACTGCTCGTCATTTGAGCTGGCCCTGCGCAGGGACCTCACGCTGCGGAAGTCGCTCTGCTCGCTGCTGGGCGGGGCTGCCTGTGACAATCACTGCCCGGGCGGGCCCAGGAAAGAAAAATGGCCAGGGTGGAACCCAGGGAAGGCTCCCAGAGTCGAGTCCGCGGGGCTTTCCACGAGAATATCGACGCAGACGACGACGCTGGCGCCAGCGCCACGTCGACGGCGACGATGACGACGGAGGCGACAGCAGAGACGAATCGGGGATCTTCTGACCCGAGTCAATCCAGACCTTGTTCAATCAGGCCTTGCAGAATTCTGCAAAATCCTGCACCCAAGTCCGGGTCAATGCGAAAGATCACGCACGATCCTGCAGGATCTTGCACCCAAGCCCGCGTCAATGCGACCCTGGCCCTGCAGGATCCTGCAAGATCCGGCGATCTGGCTGACCCGCGTTTGCAGTGGCCCCCGTCTCTTGGGCCCCGAGCGAGGGCGTGGGCGAGCGGGGTTTGAGGCCGAGCCCGCAGCTCCTCAGTGCGGCGTGGAGCTCCCTGAGGCTCTTCTTCCCCAGATCCTGGCAGGGCAGGGGCAGGAGAAGGAGGGGATGCTCCCTCTTCCTCCTCCTCCTCGTCCTCCTCCTCATCATTTTCCTCCTCCCTCTCCTCCTCCCAATCCTCCTGATCCTCCTCCTGATCCTCCTTCGTCCCCCTCCTCCTTTTCCTCGCACCGCCTCCCCTCCTCCTGGAAGGGGGCGATGAGGGGGGAAGGGAGGGAGGGAGGGAAGGAGGCTTTCGGCGTTTGTTTGGGGTTTGCACGGGTCGTAGGCCTTCTCCCCAAACGCGATTTCCATCCAGAGTCGTTTTCCGACAACCCCGTGGCCCGTGAGGGCCCCCTGGAACTCAACAGAAACTGCGAGAACAGAACTCGGACCCCGTTCCCCTCAGGACGCGCTGGCCCACGGCGAAGGATCAGGGGACGTAAGACCTGGGTACAGGGGACTCGGAAATCCCCGACGAGGTTGTCAAAAAAAAGACGAGGCCGAGCCTGCATTTTGACGAGGCCTCCCGCTGCAGACATCCCGCGAAACTCCTCCTCGTCAAAATCCGAGGCGCGGTCGTCAGAAAACGATGGCGAACCCGAGTCCTGGCAAACCCGGGTCTTACGCTCCCCCGAAAGGAGGGGAGATCCTGCATGCCGTTCCGCACGCCGGTCGCCAGGTAGGAGGCCAGCGCCGCCGCGGCCGCAGGATCCCCGGAGCCCTGGGGCCCGCCCGCCTCGCGCGAGATGGCCTCTCCTGCTCGTCCTCCTCCTGCCCCTGCTCGTCCTCCTCCTGGTCCTCCGCGTCCTCCTCGTTGTTGTCGTCGCCGTTCTCCTCCTGCCTCCTCCTGCCTCCCTCCTCGCCCTCCTTCTGCATTATTGTGGTTGTCGTCGTCGTCCTCCTCCTCCTCCTTGTCCTCTTGCCTTCCTCCTCATCATGCCTTCCTCCTCGTCCTCCTCCTCCACCTCCACCTCCTCGTCCTCGTCCTCCTCCTGCTCCTCCTCCTCCTCCTCCCCCTCCTCCTCGGCCCACCTCCTAATCAATCGTGCTCCTCCCCCGTGCCATCCTCCTCCTTCGCCTCGCCCTGCCCGTCCTCCCGAGAGCGGGGGGAAGTGTGAGCACGGGAAGCGAGCGGCGAGGACGAAGCACAGGAGAAGCAGGAGGACTGGAAAGAAAAGGCGGAGTCCTCCTCCTCCTCATCCTCCTGCTCCTCCTCCTCATCATCATCATCATCGTCACCATCGTCACCATCATCATCATCATCATCATCATCATCATCATCATCATCATCATCAGCAGCATCATCAGCATCATCATCAGCACCATCAACATCATCATCAGCAACAGCAGTATCAACATTATCATCACCATCATCACCAGCATCATGATAATCACCATCATCATCTACAACAACATCAGCATCATCATCATCATAATCACCATCAGCAGCATCATCATCAACATCATCAACATCATCAACATCATCATCGGTACAATCAGCATGCTAACCGTCATCAGCAGCACCATCATCAGCACCATCATCATCAACACCATCACTATCGTCATCGTCATTGTTAGCATCATCGTCATAAACAGCATCACCACAAGCAGCATCAGCAACATCAGCATCTGCATCAGCCGCATATTCATCATCATCATCATCAGCAGCATCATCAGCATCAGCATCAGCATCAGCATCAGCAGCAGCAACATCATCATCATCATCATCATCAGCAGCAGCAGCAGCAGCATCACCATAATCGTCGTCATCACCATCAACAACATGTTCATCCAGAACAGCATCAGCATCAGCATCGGCAGATGCATGAGCATCAGCACCATCATCAGCATCCGCATCCGCATCCACCTTCTCCCGCCCCCCGAGCCTCCAGAGAGCGCAGCAGGTCTTTGACTCCGATCACCGCCGAGTGAGCTGGAACCGGCCACCACCGTGCGGTTCGGGTTCCGGTTCCGGTTCTGGTTCCAGTTCTGGTTCCGGTTCCGGTTCCAGTTCCATCCTCCTCCACCCTCTTCGCCGCCCTCCTCCCCAACCTCCGCCCTCTCCGCTCGTTCCTGCCTCCTCCTCCTCCTTCCCAACATCTTTACCCCACGACTTCCGAGGCCTCCCACCTGGCACGGCGCCTCCGCCACCATCACCGCCGATGCCCCCAACGCGAGGGCCTTCAGCACCTGCCCTGCGCTCCTGATCGCCCCGCCGGCGATCACGGGGCACCCGCCGTGGAGCTCTGCCTGCTTCGGGGGCGCGCAAACAGGGATTAGCGATCCATGGATTTGGCACGCGGTCGCCAAATCCATGGATCGGGGGAGGTGCCCTCCCCAAAATGCGGCCGGTGCCGCCTCGCTCTGGAAATACGCGATTCCGTCGCTAATCCACGCCCCCTTGATCCATGTTTGCGATCGCCTGACTGTTTTGTGGCGGATCATGGGAGCCTTCCATGTCATCTTACTGGCTCTTGGGGATAGACGCTAACCGATGAAAGTCGGCGCTTATCGACGCAGATCAACGCTAAATCGACGCTAAATCGACGCCAATCGGCGCCAAATCGGCGCTTTCTCATCTTTTACAGGACGCTAGCGCACGCTAGAGCACTCTAAAGACGGAACAGCGATGACATACAAGGCTCCCATGAGTTTCAACTGAATGCTTCCTTATGAGCGGCGCGAACAAGGTCGCGTCGACGACCGCGTGGGCGTTTTGAGGGTCGTTGGGCGCCTCTGGGGGTTGTCGTCGCCACGGCCGGACGCGGCTCGGAGCACGGGCCAGGTCGGGGGCTGCCGCAAGGGTGGACAGCACAAGGGGGTGGGTACTATCTGATTCCAAGAGCTCTGATCGACCATGTGTTCCGTGAGGCTTCTTGGCGAATGCGCGTGATATCCCCCTCTCCTCTGGCCTAATGTCAAAACCAGGCTATTGAAGCATGAGCTTGCGCCGCGCGATCCAACAATCCCAATGACGACGACGGCGCCCACGAGCAGGCCTGGATCTAGCTGTGCTGCGTGACGCGTCCATCTCAGGGTCGCGCCGCATCGCCGATGCATCGACGATGCGGCTTGATGTGGAGCCCGACTTTCTCAACGCCGGCATCGCCGATGCATCGCAAACATCGGCGATGTATTGACGATGCATCAGCGATGCAACGGCGATGCGGCGCGACCCTCCGACCCCATCTACTCGGACCCCATCTCGGAGGCCTAGAAAATCGTCGCATCCGTCCGACCGCTGCATGCGATGCGGCCCGCGCGCTTGGGCCCGTCTCCGCCCCCCCCCGCGTCCCCCCGAGTGTGCTCTGGCGAAGGTCCACTCTTATGAGCATCGCTCAACCGATCCAAGGTCCGCCCTTCTATCCCCACTGGCGCGGTCTGGGCCCCACTGGCCGACGTACCCCCCTAAATGAGGATACAGGCTGTTCCCTCTGGGCTTCGAGAGGCCTGTCCCCAACTGGGGGCGTGTAGCCACCAGGCGGAGCGAGACTGATCCCACCTTGCCGTCGCTCGGACGTCCATTTCCCGTGCATTTTCCGGTTTCGTGCGTGTTTTGTTTGCTCGATCGTCCAGGATGGTCCTCGACGGTTCTCGCCAAGAGAAAATGCACACGTCCGAGCGATGCCAGGTCACGTGCAGACGAGGGGGCCGGCTTTCGGGCCATCCGTCGGGGCCGATCCGGGCCCCCCCTGAAGCTTTTTCGGCGAGGCGCAGCTGCTGGAGCGCATGCCAGGTGACGGGCAGCCGACAGACATCGCCCGGCCCCCCTCCCAGATCCCCGACGTCAAGATTTGCTCATGATGTCGACCCTCAAAGGTCTCGACCCATTCCCCGGGACAATGTTTTTTCATCCTGCGTCGTTTTGTAACGGCCCCGAGGCCCGGCAGGGCCCCCCCGAGGCCGAAAATAGCGAACAAAACTCCCATCGCGATTGTTTCGTGACTCGCAGTGGTCTGGGCACCCCGGTCGGCGCGCCGCCGATGCCTGCTTGGCGACCTCGTACACCGCGGTGGCCCCGGCCTGTCGCACGGCGCTGGGGGCGCCTCCCGCGAGGGCCTCCTGGTTGAGATCGCTTCACGAACGGCGATCGTGTCCGTATCCGCGCCCTCGCGGTCTGGATTCTGGGGCGCGATCCGCGGATACGCGGTCGCACGGATACGTTTCTGCACGGGGCAGCCGCGAAAGCACGCCTCGTACCTGCGGGGTCGCGGCCCAGGGGCCCGGCCCGCTAGGCCGCGGATACGGATATGTTTTTCGCCCACGGTCGCTGGCAGGTGCAGCCCAAACCTGTAGAAATGATCCGGCCCGACTAGGCTAGGCAAATCCACAAAGACCTGTGCAGGTCCAAACTGATCAGGGTGACTCCAGAGGTGCCCAGACAGATCTGGACAAATCGTGGAGGTTCCAGCGCGAGTCGAGGGGCCACGGAAGTCGTGAAGCCCTTGACGAGAGAGGCTCAGACACCCGACGAAGTGACATTTCCAATGTGCGGCCCCAAAGGTCCCGACCGGTCCGATAACGGGCCGCAGAAGCCGAATCAAGGAAAAATGCCTGGATTAGTCATGTCGTCGGAGATCTGGGCAAGGAGGCAAGACCCTTGGACGTCAAAACGGGCCACTGATGGCAGACGCGATGGGAAGAGGGCGTGTCGAAGAGGTGAGGACGCAAGGGTACCTTTGCAAATGCACTCCATCCTTTTGGATTCGGAACAGCCCTGGCCCAGGGCGGCCCCAGGCTAGGCCTGGGCCCTCCATCGGGTCGGACGCGAAAGCGGGGGAAAAACGAATCAGCTGCGTGCAGCTGGCTCTTCCGGCGCCTCCCGGCGCCGGCGGCGCCCGTGCATAGGGAGCTCACAAAGGGCATGCGCGCCCAACCACGTACATGAACATGGCCCCCGGGTCCGCGAGACCAGCCTCGTGATACGAGCCTTGGAGAAGGGCGTTCTTTCGAAACGAGCGTGGATGCATGTACGTGTACATCCCTCTTTCGCTCTGAATGTATCAAGGAAAGCGCTCGTTGGCGGGGCCGAGACTGGCCGCAGGCAGCAGAGTTCGTGACCCCCCCCTTCCCATATTCCCCCCTTTCGCCCGCCCCGGCAACAGGGACCCCCCGTGGCTGCAGAATGACCCAGGAGCCATGGACATGATTCGCAACGCAAAACATCTGAATGAAGCACGCACGTAGTTCAATTTCGGACGTCCGCGCGGGTCTCTTGGGTCCTGGTCCTTGCACCCCTGGCGGCGCCGCTGTCGCCGCCCCCAGGCGCGCCTCTGGCGCCGGGGAAGGGGCATGGGGAGGGGGACATGGGGCCGACCCAAGAAATCCACGTGGACCCTTCGGAAGTTTCGGGGATGGACAGACCCCCCTTTAGCAAAACGTGGTTTAGTGAAAACGACCTGAGGCCCAAACCTGGCGGGCGCAAGCCTGGAAAATGACGGCCACGGCGCCCTCTCGAGAGCCGACAACGGACAATTCACTAATCGACGTGTCACTGCTGGGGGTTCTGTCCAGCCCCGATGCTCATGCTGTCGCTTGGGCATCTACACCTTGGGCCAGGGGGCGCTTCTGTCCTCGTCGCCGTCCGCCAGGATCCCGCCCACGCCAGCCTGCAGGAGGCGCTTCGCGTCCCTGCCGGACCCGACGGGGCCCACCAGCACCTCGCAGCGCGGGCACTCGCTCTGAATCCGCCGCGCCAGCTCCGAGGCCCGCTCGCCTGGGAGAGCGCCAACGCCCGTGCCCAAATCTCCGACGATGCTTTCTTGCCGACCGAGGCAACGGCCCGCTCTTCTCCCGTTTCTTGTACTGCTTCAGACAAGGGTAGTGACAGCGTGGTGCAGGCGAGCACCTCGTCAGTGCCACCGACCCAGGGTCAGCTGTACCCGCGGGCGCACCCGGCGAGCGCACGAGCGGTGCCCCTGGCCCAAGCAGCTGCAGAGGCAGAGAGAGTGGGGGAGAAGAGGGAAGCAGAGGGCAAGAGGACAGCACATGCATGGGGCCAGCAGTGGGCACTTTGCTTCACCTTGGTGAGTCTATGCTTCTTCCGCAGCGTCTGCCTCCGGGAAGCGTTGTCCAGCCCCGTGGCCATCACACATGATCGGGACCTGGCGCCGCGGATGGAAGAAGACGCATCGGCGCCACGTCCTGGCAAGGCCCATCCTGAGCCCAGGGCCGCTGCATCCCGCCGTTCAGGTCAGAGGAACACAGTCATGACCACGTGCGCCCATCCTCGGCCCAGGACAGGGCCAGCCAAGATCAGTGCACGCGCACTCCCAGACACATCCGACGATGTGCTGTTCTCAATGCCGGGCCCCAGGAAATCCCGACCCCTTCCCCGCGGGGGGTAGCCTCTCGTCCAAGAGCCATTGGTGGTGGCCCTCTGGGGACGACACGGGTAAAAATGCGGCTAAGACCGAGGACAAAAAGTCGGATTGAACAGCTCATGTACTTTCCCCCGGAAGAAATCGCGTGAATTTTCGCTCGCTTTGTCACTATCGACCAGATGCCGCGGCACCGGAGCACAGGAAGCGCTGTGCATGAGCAGACTCGAAGAGGACGGGGGGGACGATCCCTCGAGGAAGAGGAGGGAAGAAGCGGGGGTAAGGGGAGGAGGCAGTTGACGGGCAAGGAAAATCGACGTGACGGCACTGGGATTGAAAAAGTTACGCGTCGTTCATGTCTAATCGTGCTCTTGTGCTCGTTTCTGATTGTTCCTGTCCCCCTAGTGACCAGGAAGAGGCCCAGGATAGAACAATTAGACATGAAAGGATCTTGGCCCCCGAAAAATCAAAATCCGAAGATTTGGCAATGACCAGTGTGTATACCGACGGGGTCGGAGAGCCGGGCCCGTTGGCGCCGCCCGATCGCCTGGGCTCCCCCGGAGGTGCAGCAGGACGACGTCTGCGCCGGCCCCGTGCAGAGCCGCGACGCGGTCCCAGGCGTCCGGGTCGCACGGGTCCACCGCAGCGCCGACCAGGAGGCAACCGGCCAGGTCCCGCGACATCAGGGGGAACCTTCGGCTACACGCAAGGAGCGACCCTGAGCATGGGAAAAGGCTTCGGGCTGCGCGCAGACAGCCCCCGGGGAGTCCCGGTTAGGCATCAGCAGGCCTCCCGAGTAGTCTGGGGCCTGTTGGGGCGAGCTGGTGCTACTCGGGGGGCCTGTTGAGGCCGAGACAGGACTACCTGAGGAGCTGTCTGTCCGCAACGCGAAGACTGGACACCCTGGGCAAAAGCCAAGATCTCCGACGATGTGTCTTCTTTTACGATCTGGGCGTCTTTCCTCTATTTCGGTCCCTGCGGCCTGTGATCGGGACCCAGGGACAGCCCCAAACGGATCCCAGACGAAGAACACCCCCCTCCTGGGCTACCGGGGCAGGGGTCCATACATCTCTGGCCGCGCGTTGGAAAAAATCACGTCGTGGGATGCCTGGGCCTCTCGTGCGCGGCCTGCCAGTCGCGGCATGCGATGCGACTCTGGCATTAGGTCGGGCGTGTCCCCCTACAGAAGATTTTAAACAAATGAACAGTAGTCAAACTATGCCCAAACATACTCACAATTCATCGAAAAATCGTCCCCGGGCTAGTTTCTGATTTTTGTTGTTGGATCCTCCTCCTGTAGAAGGACACGCCCGAAATAAGCACTGGCGGCCTGCGTGCCCTGGTTTTGCCCCCCCCCCCTCCCCCCTCCCCCCCCCTCCCCCGCGCCGCCCGACAGCCGCGCAACCAACCCAGGTATGCGCACGTCGCAAATCGTTCAAGCGATCCCCGTCCCCACGAGCGTGGGCTGGGCCCCTCTGGCCGCCTTGCCCCCCTGGATTAGGATATCGGATGGTCTCCTCGGGCTTCGAGTGGCATGTCCCCAACTGAGGTGGTGTGACGGTGAGGTTCGAGATGTGGATGGGGATGAGGATAGGGTTAGGTCGGGCGTGTCCCCCGACAGGCGGATTCTGGACGAGAACTAAAAAATATAAAACATTAACAAAGGCAGAACAAACATATTCCAAACATAGTCCCCCGACTATCTTTGGGCTGTTCTTGAAATATTCCCCCCTGCAGAGGGACAGGCCCGACTTCAGGGTGGGGATCGGTGAAACGGTACTGATAAGGATGGGGATCGGTGAATCGGCGAGGAGGAGGAGGAGGAGGAGGAGGAGGAGGAGGAGGAGGACGAGGACGAGGAGGAGGAGGAGGAGGAGGAGGTCCTCAGCACTTTTCGGCCTCCGGTGGCCCTCGCGGGCCCCAGAACCCTCCGCGGAACCTCACGCGAGCTCTGCCGACCTCTCCTCCTCCCTCCTCCGCCTCCTCCCTCCTCCGCTCCTCCTCCTCCTCCTCCTCCTCCTCCTCCTCCTCCTCCTCCTCCTCCTCCTCCTCCTCCTCCTCCTCCTCTCCTCCTCCTCCTCCTCCTCCTCCTCCTCCTCCTCCTCCTCCTCCTCCTCCTCCTCCTCCTCCTCCTCCTCCTCCTCCCCCCCCATCGCCCCCCGAATGTCAATGCTCCGTTGCGCGCGCGCGCGCGTCGCGGTGCGTGGACGCCGTGGCACGTGGTTCGGCATCAACGCTGAAGTCTGGGGGTCTGGGGGCGCCGACGCGGCGCGGGAAAGCTTGCGCCGACTTTCGCGGAGGGATGCAGGACTGTAGAGATCTGGCTCGGGATGGGAAAAGCGACCCTGACTGGGGGAAGGATTGGGACTTCTGGGGACCGCGTGTCGAAAAACACGAGGCATCGCATGTCTGGGAAGGTCACTCTGGCGAATGGGGCAACTCTAGCGTGCAGCCGAGGGAGGAGGGTCGGCGCTCGGGCCACAATTCGGGCCTCTGGCGACCACTCGGGACAATTCCAGTACCCCCAGGGCGCTCTCGACGAAGCGCGGCTGATCGGAAACACCCTGGAGCCGCAAAAGCCCTGTAGCTTTCGGAACCGCACGTGCAGCTACCTTCGGAGCTTCGTCAGGTGGCTCCGGCACACCAGGGAGGAGAGGTTCCCCTCGCGGTCGACGATGGGCAGCTTGCCGACCTTGGCGCTGCGGAGCTTGGCCACGGCATCCTCCAGGCTGAGGGGCTCCCGCCCAGTGACCAGCCTGGTCACCATGACGTCCCCGACCTTGGAGCCGCGGTCTTCCTCGGCGACGTGCAGAAGAATTGGGCGCCCGAGTTATCCGGGGTAACTCGGGTCCGGGGTAACTCGGGTTTGGATTCCCGAGAAAGGAACCCGAGTTAGCCCTGACCCGAGTTACCCCTGATGATTCGGGGCCCTGGACGCCCGAGTTATCCGGGGTAACTCGGGTCCGGGGTAACTCGGGTTTGGATTCCCGAAAAACGAACCCGAGTTATCCCTGACCCGAGTTACCCCTGATGATTCGGGGCTCTGAAAGAAGGTGGCGGCCGCACGGAAGAGCGTCCCCCTTGGCAAGAGCGGCCTCTGGTGCGACACCCGAGGCCACTCCGGCGGAGGGCCCGCTCGAAGCCTCGGAGAGCCTCGGAGCCTCGGAGCCTCGAGCCTCGAAGCCTCGGAGCCTCTCGGAGCCTCGGAGCCTCGAGGCTCCAACCTCGAGGCCTCGAGGCCTGGAATGTCGAGTCTCGAGGCCTCGGAAGGCCTCGAAAAGCGCCGAGGGCTGGGCGACGAGGGGCGGCTCTCAGAAGAAGGGAAGGGGCTGGCCCAGTTTTCAGGAGCTCCCCCGGAAGAGGCAAAAAGGGAGGGGGGGATGGGGAGAGGGGGCTCCTTCCTTTCCACTCCCTCGTCCCCCCCCCCCCCCCCCCTTCCTCCCCTGCCTTTCTCTTTTTCCCAGGCATGCGCTCCTCTCGCGAAGGCGACGACGACGAAGACGACGGCGGCGGCGGCAACGACGACGACGACAGCCGTTGCGAAAGAGGAAGCGAGCGTATATACACGAAGGTCTAAATGAAATGGTAGTTAGCTTGAAATGAAAATGGCCCCCAACTTGCGTTCTAATTCTGAAGAACGCGACTTTTGGATGGCGTGCGGCATGCTCTGCACGGGGGACTGCAGATGACATGCGGGACTCCCATTCTCGCTGATGTTCCTTTTTACATTTGCGTTCTCCCGTCCTTCTAGGAACCGCGCGCATATACACGAAGGTAGATGGATCCCTTCCCACGGGGTTTTACAGAAACGCCACAAGACAAGGTATAGTGTGCCATTTTCTGGCCGGCTCTCCAGGCGAAAGGTGTTGAAACAAATGTATGTATATATATACATACATACATACATACATACATACATACATACATACATACATACATACACACACAGACAGACAGACAGACAGACAGACAGACAGACAGACAGACAGACAGACAGACAGACAGACAGACAGACAGACAGACATACACTGTGTGCTGGGCCGCCATTTGCCACTAAATAATGGAGAACTATGACATCGTATAATGGACATTTCCTGGCCACGAACAAGCTGCATAAAGATACACTTCTGGACCTCAGTGCGGGATCTGCGCCGACCCGCCTTCTTGGCGCGTGGCGCGCGCCAAACGCGGCGCCGGAGGCGCCTCCATGGCGGCCCAGCGCCGATCTAAGTAATCCGCGCGGAGCTCCGAAAAGGTTTGCCGATGCTGCATGCGACGTTTTCTCCTCCGATCCCAGGCAGACCTCTCGGAAGGCAGGAGGGAGCCCACGAATCGCCCCTGCCTCCAGACGAGGGGGGCCCACGCAGGCCAGGAAACCAGGGAGATCGAAAGAGAGGACGAGGAGCCCGAGAGGGGGCCCCGCCCCTTCTGCGCGCCGCCAGCATCCACTGCGTCCGCGCACCGGGAAGTCACGAGGCCGACCAGGCGGTCGCCCACGCAGCCCGTCTCGGTGACGCAGGCGTACGTCGTGCCGCGCTCGCGCCGCAGCCGGTCCAGGTCGGCCAGCGTGTGCTCTGGTCGAGGGTCGCTTGAGGTGCCCCTGGCGCAAGGTGCGCCCCAGGATTTCCGAGGAGGCCCCTACGGCCTCCGGAGCAACCCCCCTCACGAAGCCAGAGGGCCCCCAGGGCTCTAAAACGGAGCGAAAAGCTGGGGGCACCCCTGGGGCCAAGGGAACATCTAGCAACCCCCGATCTGGGCTGAGCGTGGGGGGCTCCAGCACGAGCCCGCCAGAGTAGCTCTTGACCCTTCGAACCTGGGCGGGGAGCGGGAGACCGCTCACAGGACGAAGGCCCTCTTCGAAATCCGCCTCCTCTTCGTTCCTCTCGTCCTCACGATCGTTATCGTGTCTCTTCCTCCTGCCCCGCTGGCTCCAATCCCCCTCGTTCGCCTCAGCTTCCCTCCTCCTCCTCCCTCCTACTCATCACCATCGTTCCAGGTGTTCTGGATAGTCTGTCTCTCCCTCTCTCTCTCTCTTTGCTCTCTCTCTCTCTCTCTCTCGCTCAGCCACCTGGAGCGCGAGGACTTGAACTCAAAGGCCGATGAAACTCTGGATCCTTACCACACGCATCTCCCCCTGGTCTCCTCTCCGAACAGAGGGTGTGATACATGACAGAGGCTGAGAGGAGGGAAGAAAACAAAGGAACAGAAGGGCAGGGAGCATCGGGAAGGATATATGGGGAAGAGGCAGAGTGTGTGGGGAGAGGAACGACAAGGAAGAGGAAGCATATCGGACAGGGAGGCTGCGAGGAAGAGGAAAAAACGATGACGATCAGCATGATGACCACATTTGACAGCGGAATGAACGGCGACAGCGATGACGGCAACTAGCGGCGAGCCCCCGCGCGCTATCTCCGTCCAGAGGCGCGCGCTTCACTCCGAGGAGGAGGAAGAGGAGGAAGAGGAGGAGGAGGAGGAGGATGAGGAGGAGGAGGAGGAGCGTGTGTTGCCCCCCCCCTCTCTCTCTTTCTCTCTCTCTCTCTCTCTCCTATATCTCTCTCTCTCTCTCTCTTTCTCCCAACGCCTCGCGCCCCCAGGGGCAGCTTCTCGTCGAGGGTCCGTTCATGCTCCTCCTGCCCCTCTCTTCTATCCTCCTGCTCCTCCTGTTGACCCTGTTCCTGCTCCTCCTGTTCCTTTTCATCGTCCTGACCCTCTTCAGCCTCTCTCATGCTCCTCCTGTTCCGGCTCCTCCTGTTCCTCCTGATCCTCTTCGAGGACCCGTTCATGCTCCCCCTGTTCCTCTTCATCATCTTCCCCAGGGCGACTCGACTGGGGCACCGAGCAGACCGCCCAGAAATGAAAACAACAAACTCAAACTACACCTCCTCCTCCTCCTCCTCCTCCTTCTCATCATAATGATTATCCTCCTCTCCGTCCTCCTTCATCCTGTTCTTCCTCCGCCCCCTCCGCTCATCCGTCCTCGCTCCTCGATCTCCTCATCCTCCGCATCATCCTTCTCCCCTCACCTCTCCTCTGTCCTCCTCACGTTTCCTTCCAGAACTCGAGTGCGCCGAACCTCCTCCGCAAACAGACGAGGAAGGGAGAAGTCGGGAGGAGGAGGGAGGAGGGCTTCCGGCTGTGAGACACAAGGTGCAAGGATTTCCACGGCCTTCTGGGGATGGTCCAAGTCTTGCGCGGAGGAATGGGGACCAGGGAAGGGGCTGAAAGTAGAATAAGAATAAGTAGGAGAAGAAGAAAAGGGGCCATGACACCTGGGAGATTTCATGACCCTGGGCCTGTATCCACACCTTCGTGGACCCTGGAAGCGGCAATTGCCGTTTGCAGAGAAATTTCACTGGAACGCGAAAACCGTGAACGACACTGCCCCATGGCAACGCGAAAATAACTGCTCCAGGGTGAAAACAGGAACCAGAATCGGCAAGCAACTGCGACGGAACCGGAAACAAAGAACGGCGCCAGAACCCGAGGCACACACAATGCAAAGCGGGACCAGCGAAGAAACGACCCTGTGGTTTCCAGGGCCCGCTGAGATCCGCGCGCCCCTTGCCCTGACACTCCTGGACGCCCGTGCCCCCTTAAAGGAACCGTCTCTTGGACCCACCACCCTGGAACCGCGGAGGCCTGCGAGTGGATGCTCTGGTCCGAGAGGATGATGCCGATGCCGCCCGCCAGGGCGAGCGCCACGGCGGCCTGTCGTCGGGGGCGACGACGGGGGCGAAGAGCCCAGGGGGGGGAGCAATACGCGCGTATCCAGGGGTGCCGATGGTCCATGTCTTCGGCGAGGCTCCCGGAGGGGTACGTATGTACGTCTGATGCCCGCCCCTTGGGCTGTTCGCCTCCACCGTCGCCCTCGATTGCGGCGAGCCGAAGGAGGGGAACCCCGACCTCTAGCGCGGAGGTCGGTGTTCCACGCTCAGGGCACGGGGGGGCTCGAGACCAACCAAACAGGCCCCTCCCCCCCAGAGGGAAGACAGGACATCAGAGGCAGAAGCTGTTGGTGGTGCGGCGAAAAAGGAGAAGACCTGCTGGCGCCCGGGCAGCTCAGTGTCGCAAGCGCTGAGCTTCTCACGTCATCCCCACAAAAGCGAACAGAAAAGGGAGGCGTGAGACCGGCGAGAGAGAACCGGTGGGCCGCGGGATGCGGCTGATGGACAAGATCCTGCACCGCCCGCGCGACCAGCGCGAACTTCAGCGCGCCCACCCTACCCCGCTTCAATGTTGGTTGGCGTCGCCAGCGGGGTGCAGGATTTCGGCCAGTCGACAGATCAACACTTTTTACAAGCGCAGACGGAGCCCAGTGGCACGACACGGCAGACGAGCGACGGACGACAGACGAACGACAGTCGACACATCGACACATCGCGTCGCAGACAGCCAAGATTGAATTGGGGGCGCGGGGTGTGTTCACAAACATCCACCTGGAAAATTCCATATATATATATATATATATATATATATATATGGTCCACCAACCGTCCCCTCCATATCCTCGTGTCCTCCCCGCTTCCCGGGCTGCTCTTAGCACTCAGGCGCGTCCGATGATTCTTGACCTGCCTGTGGCTTGCTTTCCTCCTGAGCGGCCGACCCATCACGGCGCCAGCGCCGCCGCTTCGGCCCTCGGGAGGCCCACCCGGGGCCCGCGAGCAGAAACCGCCCCGCGGCCCCTCGAGAAGGCTGCGGGCGTGCCCCCGAGAGGAGCGCCCTTCCGACCGTGCTCGACGCCTGGACTGCGCGATGCTGCAGCGCGGTGATGCTTATACGTGCTCGTGCGTGGCCTTTACAGGACATTGCTTCTGCTCGCTGGTGCGTATAGGTGGATACGTGTTGTGTTCGTGCATGCTACTTGTGTGCGTTTTTTTCAAATAGAAGATTCGAGGGTGCTTGTACATTACACGCGCGTGCTATGTCAATCGGGCCCTTTTCTGCCTTTGCGTCGACTCCAAAGTGCGTTCCTCACATATGTTCGATGTGGCATGTACACATTGATGTATATGTATACGCATGTCGGTGTACACATGGATCTGGGTATTCGTGCAATGTGTGTGTGTGTGTTCACCGTGCGCGCATGCATGTATGCTGGGTACGCGTGAACTTTATGTATAGAACCCCGTGCCCCTGATAGTAAAGCATCCCCCCTTGACACCTGAAGGTTGATTATATGTGGCCAAAACAATGTTGACCGGCGGTGGGGAACGGCGGGGCCGAAGTACATTATCAACGGGGAAACGCATCAATCGTAGATCGAATACTACGATCATGATTGTCATCATCAGTGGTATCAACATCACAATCATCACCATCATCACGATCATCACCGTCACCATCATCAGAATTATCAGCATGATCATCAGCATCACCATCATCATCTTTCATGGGCCCCCCATTCTGGGCACACCCCTGGCACAGTTCGTGGCCCCATAGGGAGCTCAGGCCCCTGCTCCTGCTCCCCCCTGCTCTTGCTCCTGCTGCAGCCCTTCCTCCTCCCTCGCTTCAGTAAGACTCCGCAGAACTCTTTTCACTCCTCCGCCTCCTTTCCTCCCTCCTCCTCGTTTCTGTCGCGACCTGCCGGGGAAGTATAATCCTCTCGGATCCGCGAACTTTGCTATTCCGACCCTGTGATCATCAGGGGCACACGCATACACACCTATACATAGAAGTGCAATAATATATATATATATATATGCCTATTCGTGTATGTATATATGTATGCATAAAGTGTACTGTTCTTGTGTATGTTGTCACTATGCGGGGTAAGCGCGCATGCTCTTCATGAGCCTGTGTGTATGTTACCTGTATTTGTATGTGTTACGTGTGATGGCCGTTGCTTACGTAGCATTACGCCTTCTACTTGATGGTTTGGGTGCTGTTGAGACATGTTCCCGGCGGCTGCGCGCAAGCAGAACTAATTGCTCATAGCACGCATGTGCCCTCACCATGGCTGGTTTCATGTGCGCGAAACAAATGCTGTACTGCATGTATGAAGCGTGCACTTGCGCGTAATGACTGGATATTCCACGCGGGCGTTATGTATACATGGTTGCTGCCCTATCTTTTCACGAATACCCTTACACGGTGTACAGCAATTGTTCGCGTGCTGTATGTTGTGTACGCCTGCCCCTTGTGCGCGCTAGTAGCGGTACGGATGTTGCAGACATGTGGGAAGTATTGACATTTCACTCGGGCCTCAATGAGCTTCGGGGGGGACCCCCCCCTCTCTCTCCTGTCTCGGTCCCCTTGGCGGGCCTCGCACACTCGGGCCTCTTTTGGGCCTTGCACGCTAACGCTACCAGGGGGCCGCGCGCTCAGTCCACCCTGCACGCCCCAACGGCGCCTCGAGGTAGGCGACCATAGCCTTGCCATCGGCCACAAACTCAACCATGGCTCGCTTCAGGAAGAGGCGTGAACCTCGGCCGCACGCTCTTGAACGCGTGCGTGCACGGCGCCCGGCTCTGCTTGTCGTTCCTCTCCCTATTGGTATGGTCGCTGTTCGCGTTGCCGGGGTAAGACCTTAAGTCGTCCCCCGTGTCTCTCTTCTTCTTCGCCGTGCCCTCGGCGGAACACATCATCATGCACTTCCCTCCGCACGGGCAGCCAACCGCAAACGCCTGTAGCCTGCCCACGCGCGCGAGCAGGTGATCGTCGATCCAGTCCTTGATGCTCGGCTTCTCGGCTTAAATCTCCGCTGCCTCGCTGCGCGCGCCGGTTGCCGAACTGATTGTCGCCCTCTGCACCAGCTGGGTCTCGAGCGGCCCCTGTCGCGCCCAGCTTGCGCTCGACGTCGCTGCGCAAGCATCGCGCTCTTTGTGCTTGCCCATCTCAGCGCACTTCACGATGCCAGCCATCGCGCGCAAGTGCTCGAATCTCGCCACTGGGTGCCCCAAAGTCTACCACGCGATTATCGCCGCTCTCCTTCCTCGCGCGCATGTCGTTCGTTCCCATCACCAGTTGGACCCGCGGAGCTCTCGCGTCCAAATGTTTCGCTTTGCTGGCGCCCTTCTCTACCCATCAACACCTAGGAGGCGCTGCTGTCGATGGCCAACTCCCACGTCGCCTTGTAGCCTAGCCACCCCAACACATTATTGATGATATTGCCGTCCATCACCACCGAGGTCGCACCGTTGAACTCCGCTTATCCCGATGATGTCGTCTGGGCTCCCTGTCGTCTCGCGACGGATGAGAGCTGCGCGCCATCCAACTCCGCGATTCCGAACGGCATCGCCCCCCCTCGTTGTCTTGCAGGTCGCGAAGTCCGCGTCGCTGTTCGCACGCAGCTCCACCTCGCCAAGCTTGCTCATCACTGGCTTCTTCAGCAGCAGGCCGTAGGTCTTGGTTCCCTTCAGGTACGTCGCGAGCTTCACCGAGCGCATCCAGTCGAACTTCGTTGGCTGGCTCAGGCTCGCCAGCAGCTGAACGTCCCTCTGGACGTCGGCCCTGTCTGCGGATATGTAGGACGAGATGCCTACGCCGCTGCGGTACCTCGCCGGCCCGATCTCGTCCACGTCAGGACGCCGCGTCGGTTCCTCCTCCGCCAGGCTCGGCATATTCGCATGCTTCGCTTCCCCATATGCCCAGCGCGTAGATCAGGTCCTCGATATGCTTAACGTTCGGGCGCATCATAACGCCCCCGCTCGCGAGCCTCAACCTGTCGCTTCGCGCAGTCGGCGATGAACGTGCCGCGATTCTCCTCCGCGATGCGGATGCAGTCCGCTAGCCTGCTCGTCTGGGCTGACGAACTCGCTGCGAACGCGTCGCCCCGCTGTTCTTCCCACATGAACTCCTGGGCCACGCGCCTGCGCTCTCCTCCGCGCATATGCGGTTCCCTGCGCGCCTGGATCATCATGAACTGGCCGCTCTCGCTCCTGGGAATGTATCGGCTGCACGCCGCAATGCGCCAGCGCCTCGAACGCCTCGAGATCCCCCTTAAGCTCTACTGCAGGCTCCAGGCCGCTGGTCGCCACGTCGGCTGCCGTGCCCATGGCGTTCAGGATGATGCAGTCGATCTGGTCACCCAGCGTCATCGCGCCCGCGCGCCTCGCCCGCTTTCCAGGCGTTCCGAAGTCGATGTCGCCCGCTGGCCTCGCCCTGCTTTGCGGCGGGAGTAATGCCTTCGTCGCGATGTCGCCCTGCGGCTGCGCAGCGGCTGCTGCTCCTGCTCCTGGCGTTGCAGGCGCGGCTGGCCCTGCCCGTTGATCACCTTCGCCTCCTGCTGCCTGCTGCGCCCCCGGCTCAGGCGCCCCCCCCGGCTGCCCCCTGCCCGGAGGTGCGCCCTCCGGCGCCGCCGCTGCCTCTGCCTCTGCTTTCGCCCTCTGATCAGCCGCCGTCAAGACGATCGTGAACGGCGGCCGCTGCGCCTTCGGCTGCAGCTCGCGCGGCCCCGTGCTCCGCGGGCCCCAGGGCATCGCCGCCGCCGCCTGCGGGGGACCCAGGTCGCTCCTCAGCGCGGGCCCCGCGGGCCTGCGCGCGAGGCACGACGCCAGCCTACCGGCGTCAGGAACAGGCGGCCGTCGCTCTCCTCGCGCTTCCCAACCCCGATGCCTTCCGCAAGGCTCGACCCCCCCTCGCGTTTCAAGGAGGTCGCCGTGATGTGCCCGGCGCGGAGCGTCGGCGCACTGAAGAGCGCCGTCTCGCCAAACGGCGCGGCCCCCCCGCTGCAGGTCGCGCCGCAGGCCGACAGGCGGCCCCCCCCATCGGCCCTCGGTCTGCAGGCCGAAGTCGCTTAGTCCACGCGCCTCGTCACCCAGCGCCAGATCGGCGAATCTGCCGCGAGCTCGCGGCCGCAGCGCTTCTCCAAATCGAACTTGCAGGCCCTCACCTGCGCGTGAAGCGAGTGGATGAGAGCCTCGATCGCGCCTTTGCTCTGGCTGCCCTTCAGGTTCCACTGCTCCGTCTCCAACTTGGCACTCCCCGCGATATTCTTGCGCGCTGCCTTCGCCAAATTTACGACAATGGGCGCGCTGTCCGTCTTGAGGCCCGCTGCCGCCAGGCGTGTGCTCTCGATGGGCCCGCGCGCGTTCATCGCGGCGTAGTTGGTCGCGGCCTTCGTCGGGGTCGACGCGGCGCTGCGCATCGGTGCGCCCCTGTCCGCCATCGCGAGCGCCGTCGCGAACGCGTTGGCAGACGGCGGCCCCTCGTCGCCGACCTCCGCCCAGGCGCCGTTGGATGTAGCAGGTGAGCATTTTTTTATTCTGGGTTCCGGCTTTAGGCGCATGGGGGGGAGGGGGGAGGGTCCGGCTCTCGGCCCGTAGTCAATGCCTCCGATTGAATCATGTGGGGAATCCTGTGGGAGATGCCGATGAGGGAATCCTAGGGGAGACCCCCCATGGGGGAATCGCGCAGCGGCTGCGCGGGGCTGCGCCAAGGCTATGCGTGATTTGGCAAGCCTGTGCCAGAATTGCTAGGGATCACCTATTCATGATTCCACGAGGCCGTCGCTGGCATAACAGGGGAGGGCCCAGCCGGAGGCATGCTTTCTGGCGATCGGGTCTGGCGCCCCTGAGCCCTTTCGTTGTGGTTCCAGAAGAGTAGCACGATAAAATGCGCACAGTTGCACACATCAGCAATTCGAGTTTCTACCGGGGGAGGGGGGGGGCGCGCCGGCCCCTGTAGTTCGTCCGATCGATTGAAGCAGGTGCCAAAATCAGCCCCGAACTTCTCT